AAATGTCTCTTGTAGGTGTGTGGGAGCAATGGTGATGAAAGTTATGATATTCAAGATGCTCTAGCCACACATGAAAAAGGAATGAGTAACCTCTAAGCTTAATGCTTTTAATTTTGGTTATTTGGTTGCTCATTTGATTTTAAGCATGCATGAGTTTTGTTTTTAAATGATTATGCATCATTGTTTAAATCTCATGTATGTTGAAAAGATGATTATGATGAACATTTTAAAGTTATATTAAATTTTAAGAATTTTTAGTTCATCATAATAAAATTTTGGTCAAAATTGGTTTTAATGCAATTGATATCTCTCTAACAATTGATATCAAATTTTCAAATACTTTGATTTTACAAATTTTAAAATTTTTGACCTAAATTTGAATGTTTATGCATGTGGTTTAAATGGAAATGATATCTCTCTAACAATTGATATCAAAATTTTCAAATACATAACATTTTTGGAAAACTTTATGCATATGCACTTAATTTTAACAATTGGTATTGATATCAAATTTCAATAATTGGTATTGCATAAAGTATTTTAGTCTTGGATATATTGAATTTCATGTGCTACTAACATGCTTGTTATTCTTTGTTGAAATTCAATTTTGTTTAAGTGTCTTGTTCTTAAAGCTAAATTTTATTTGGAATGCATTTATTGAGGGGGAACTTTGATTTTTTTTTTTCAAAAGATTTTTAAAATGTCAAATTTACTACCTACTCTCCAAAGTTATTTTGAACTTTAAAAGATTAGAGTCTTTTTGATTTAACAAAAAGGGGGAGAAGTGTTAAGTTGTTTTAAAGGGGAGAAGTGTTAAAGTAAGGGGGAGTAATTTCAAACTTGAATTCAAAATCTTAAAATTACTTAAATGTTTTGTTATATAAAAAAAGGGGGAGATTGTTGAAAACATTTTTATGTTTCGATATAACAAATGAATTTTAAGATTTTGCAAATGATTTTCTAAGTATATTCGATATAATTATTTGAATATGAAAATATTACTCCAAGTCTTTCAAAGTTCATTTTAATCCTTACTAAAGTGTAAAATTGTGTTTTATACTTAACTATTTTAAAACAATTTTACAAAGTATTTCGAGCCTTAATCGAGCCAAAAATATTTCTTTTTAAAGGGTTTCAAGAAAAATCAGATTGCCCAGGGGGTACAGATTCCCCCCCAGGGGGTACCGATTCCCCCCCAGGGGGTACCGATTCCCCTCTGCCTAACGGACAAAAACAGATTGCACGTAGGGAATTGATTCCCCATGAGAGGGTACCGATTCCCCCACGCTCCAAGCTATTTTATTAATTGTTTCTCATCCCCAAACGGCTCCAAAACATCCTCAATGACTATATACGACTTCAAACACATTCCAAGCTATAAATACAAGCTAAGGACACTTGAAGAAGCAAGAGAACAACTATCCAAGCAATCAAACACAAGAGAAGAGTTTTTCAATCTTATTTCATCTTTCTCTTGTAAATACTTTGTTCTTGTGAGCTCAATCTTGTAAACACCTACCTTAGAGAGGTTTTCTTGTTTACATCTTTTATCCTTTTGTAAAGGGGAAAGGTTCTAGCTTAGCCCGTGTAAAAGCTAGGGAAAGGTTCTAGTTTAGCCCGAAAAAACTAGGGAGTTTGTAAGGTTACTCTTTATCCTCAAAAGAAAGAACAAATTAGTGAATTTGTTGGAAAATCCTTGGTGATGAGCTAAGGTAGTGGACGTAGACTTTGGTTGAAAAAGTTGAACCACTATAAATCGCTGTGCAATTCTCTATCTTTCAATCTCCTTACTCCCTAAACACAAAACCGTTTCGACCCCTCTTTACAAACCATTCTGGTTGTCAATTCGAGCTTCCAAAAATCCTAAAAATGGTTTTATCCAGAGGTACAAGGCAAGGCAAGTTGTCAAATGGTTCACTTAAAAATTCAGTTTAGACTTCTTCGATACTTATTCTCCCTAAAGAAAATCTCAATGATCCATGCATTATTTGCACTAGCCTCTATTCACAAGTTGCAAGTACATCAAATGGATGTAAAGACTGCATTTATGAATTAAGATCTAGATGAGGAGATCTATATGGAGCAACCTCTTGGTTTTGGGGCACCTGGTATGGAAGGAAACATGTGTAGACTTAAAAAGTCTCTTTATGGCCTCAAGCAAGCTCCCAAACAGTGGTACGAGAAATTTCACAAAAATATCCTTAGTTTTGGTTTTATTGTGAATGGTTCAGATCATGCATGTATTCGAGGATGTTTGGTGTTGATTGTATCATCATAAGTTTATATGTTGATGACATGTTGATTTTCAATACTAACATTAAGTCCATTAACAAAACAAAAATTTTCTTGTCTATTAAATCTGAGATGACTGATTTGGGATAAGTCGATGTAATCTTAGGAGTCAAAGTTACTAAAATTGAAAAGGGGTTTTCTTTAAATCAAACACGTTATATTCAGAAAATGTTAAAGAAATTTGACAATTTTGATGTCATCCATGTTCGAACTCCTTATGACCATAGCATACGTCTTTTTAAAAATAAAGAAAGAAGAGTTTCCCAAATTGCTCTTAATGAACTATACTTAACGTGATATTGCCTACTCTGTGAGCAGACTTAGGAGATATATTCACAACCTAAGTGGTGAACATTGGGTTGCTCTTCGACGTTTACTGAAGTATATTAAAAGTAAGATGGATTAAAAAATTTATTTTGTTGACTATCCTGTAGTGTTAGAAGGATATTGTTATGCCAACTAGGTTTATGATAATGATGAAGTAAGCTCTACGAGATGGTATGTTTTTACTTTATGTGGAGAAACAATCTCATGGAAGTCTGTAAAGTAAGCCTTTATTGCTCATTCTACTATAGAGTCGGAGTTTATAGCTCTTAACTTAGTTGGGAAAGAAGTCGAGTGCCTCAGAAATTTATTAGCAGAAATTCCATTGTAAGGAAGACCGACTCTTCTAGTCTCCTTACTGTGTGATGCACAAGTTGCAATTTATGTGGATAAGAACCAAGCTTACAATGGTAAGAAAAAACACATTCACATTAGATATGAATCTGTTAGACACTTAATAAGGAATGGAGTACTCTCTTTAGAGTATGTGAAGTAAAAAAAAAACCTAATAGATCCGCTTACCAAAGGGTTAAGACACAAACTGGTCCTAGATTCTTCGAGGGAGATGGGTTTAAAGCCCATTGGTTGAGGAATTCATGGTGGATACCCAACTTAGTTATCTAAGTTCAATGTGGTCAAACGAAACCATGGAAAGACTCATAGTGTACATTTACCTACATATCCATATGACGAACAATGTACATCAAGTCTTAATAAATTCATAGTCCAAGCTTTGGGTGGTCATAGTGAGAAAGACTTGATGAATTTACCGACTTTGGTTGAATATATATTCTTAATACTCTTAATGAATTCAATTCCAAAAGTTTGGATGGTCCTAGTGAGAATGACATAACAAATTCTCTGATTAATGAGGTTAAATATGTATTCTTAATGATTTCTTATCCCAGAGTTTGGGTGGTTCGTTTATAAAGAACTTGAAGAAAATTACCATGACCTTTGAGAGGTTGAGCCATTGTAAAAGGCTCTTAATTATTTCACAGCCCAGTTTTAAGATGATTTATGTTAAGATAAACCTGATGAAATAACCTACATAAGTGAGAATGATTAGTCACCTTCTATGAAAAATGTTGGGTCATTTTTCTAGTACACTTACTAAAATCCTAAGGTAAGATGGCCAAATATACACTTGTGTATATATATATCTTACACATCGAGGACTTAGATGGATGAAGGGGTTAGTTGTGTGTTATGAGTTTACCCTTATCTTAAAAAGTTCAATATTAGTTTCACTTATCCAAGAGAAGGATTTCTCATCATCACTATGTACTAGTTCAAGATACGTTCACTAGTACTTAAGCAAATAATTTCGCTATTACTCTTCTAAAAGTGTTATTTTTTGAGTTTCAGAAGAATTTTTTCGCCTTAGTGGGGGAATGTTGGTAATGCATAAAACACTATCATATATTAAGTGGGAAATACCACTAGCTTGGGTATTTATAGTGTTCATTCTTCTCTCCCTTCTTGAGTGATAGAGAACAAGGGACTATCTCGCGCGCCGCCGCCATCCGTCTGTTCGTCTCGTGCTCGTGGTCGTGGCTGCCATGTGGCTCATGGTCGTGGCTTGTGGCAATACGTGTCTTCGACACATCCTCGTGGATACTATATTTTTTTATTTAAATTCGTAAAGATACTATATTTGTTTATTACAGAGGTTAAATTTAGAAATTTAAATCATATTTATTTCTTACTTATGCTTGGACGTTTTTGTCCCTTACTTCAGCCTATAAATAGAGAGGCGTCCTAAGCTAACACACACTCAGGAAAGCTTCTTTTCTCTACTGCTATCAGAAGAGAAATACCACCGAAAGTCCACTCCGGTTTTGGGTGTACGAATTCTCGGAACGACCGTGTTAACCTCGAGGGACGATCCGCCTATTGCAGCGATTACACATTGGGCGAATTTGTTTCTAAGGCAGTGGTTTTCACTGCAACATAGTTTCGGTGTTCACTTATTGTTTATAATTTTTATTTGTCCTGTCATTGCTAACAGTGTGATTTTGCAATATTCATTTCCAACAGATTCAACCCACTACTTTTAAATATTATACATTATGCCATTTCAAATTTTTGAAATATTTTTCCTTTATCAAACATTTAATATTTTTTTCTCAAATGCCTACTTTTTCCAAGCAATTTGTTTCCCATTCCATTGAATAAAGCCAAAAGAAAATGTAAAGGCATAAACCTAATGAAACTAATTAAAGAATTTGGCATGGTGAAATAAAAAAAACAGCAAATAGGCGAAAGTCTAAAAAAGAGAAATGTTTGAACAAATGATGTCATGTCTCATACTACGTGATCTCACACTTCTACTATAAAAAAAACCCCATTTTATGCAAAAAATAACAAACCCCAAACATCATCTCTTTCCTCTAAGAAACCATCTTTTTCTTTACCTATACTTTAAGATGGAATGCAAAGAAGAAGCAAATCCTTCTTCATCTTCTCCTCAATCTCTTTCGCCAAAGTCTTCGAGTTCATCATCTTCTCCTCCTCCGATCCCACCACCGGTTGTTATTAGTCCTTGTGCCGCCTGCAAGATTCTGAGGCGCAGATGTGCTGATAAATGTGTGTTGGCACCTTATTTTCCTCCAAACGAACCCACCAAGTTCACCATTGCCCATCGAGTCTTTGGTGCTAGCAACATTATCAAGTTCTTGCAGGTATACTTTCTTCTTTTTTGCTTATTCTTCCTGCAAATTCACCCATATTCCTTTCTAAAACCGGAGTGTGGAATGGTGAAACAGTAGCTTCGGGTTAAAATACTAAAAGAAATAAGGTATAATGTCAAAAAATATATTTAATGTTTGATTAAATAATCACTTTTAGGCTTTATTTATTTTAATATTTTAAACTCCAACGTTTTATATAATCCTTAACATTATCAAGCTTTTTTACTTTAAAATAAAATATTGGAGCCAAAATGTTCAAGAAAAAAAACAACTTGACCAAAGTGACTATTATGGCACTTTGCTCAAATAATTATTTGATTAAATATTAGAAGTTTTTTTTTTTTATGTTATACCAAAGATGTACTAACAATGGGTTTACAATGGGGTTATACCAAAAAATATTTAGTGTAGCTCTCACATTTGATTGACATAGTCAAAGACAATGCATGTGGAAAGGACCCTATTTTCTGCATAAAAAGTTGACACTTCCTTAATACGTCCACAAATGTACTTATCCAATACACTTGCGTTTCCCACATGCAAACGAGGGAATTGACCGTCCCCCGTTACTAATATATAATCTGATGTTAAAATAAGGGCTTTGGCTTTGAAATTTTGCAGGAACTTCCGGAATCTCAAAGGGCCGATGCAGTAAGCAGCATGGTGTACGAGGCTAGTGCAAGAATCCGAGACCCTGTTTACGGTTGCGCCGGGGCAATCTGTCAACTGCAAAAGCAAGTTAATGAGCTTCAAGCACAACTAGCCAAAGCTCAAGTCGAAGTGGTGAACATGCAGTTGCAGCAAGCCAACCTTGTGGCCTTACTTTGCATGGAAGTGGCAGAGTCTCATCCGTCTCCTCAACAAACACCCCACCAATCCGTCGACGATTTCATCGGAAACAGCCCGCAAAGCTACGACAGCAACCCGGGTTTATTGGAAGACAACAACTTGGAGTCATTATGGGAGCCTCAGCCTCTCTGGACATGAAGATTGATGCTTAAATATGAAGCATGAAGCTTTATTAGAATATATAAGATCCCATGAAATGAAACTCCCCAACTCTAAATCAATGGCTCCAAAGGAGAAGTTGGAGGAGATTATATTAGATTAATAAATTTCAACATAGTAATAGATGCAAGTTTAGGATCTAATCGTTTTGATAGATGAAGTAGATATGTCTTTTTCCTCCATCTAATTTGCCCCATGTATGTTGAGAAAGAGAAATATGTACTCCATTTATTTTCTAATCTAAACTTTATAATTTTGTTCTATTATTGATTTTTTCCAACTTTAGGTTACCTACTATGATTACTTAAATTTTATGCTTTGGTTTAAGTATGTGCTAGACTAACTAGCTTTTGACCATATAAGCATGGACGGAGCCATGTAGGCCCTTGGGGGTCACTGCCTCCTCAATTTTTTCAAAAATAAAATAAAATATAAGGATAATTATCTATTTAGATCTTTAAATTTTGATTTATTTTGAATTTGTCCTTCATTTTCTATTGTTAATTATACTTTGCACCTTCAACTAAAATCTTGGCTCCGTCTCAGAATGTGAGCACATACTTGCTCTAATTTTGATTCGGGATTCACAACACCTATTCCTAATAACTTCTTTCATTTTGAATTATGATTTTAAAATTAATTATTCTTTATGTTTGTGTTTGAGAATGAATTGAATTCTAACTCAATTCCTACTTTTACCTTTGATGAAAATTCCACTTAGCTAATCATTTGAAAAATACTCACTTGTCTCTTTGATTTGATTTGATTTGTTTTTCTATTTAAAATTCGAATATTTTAACGAAAAACTTCAATTTTTTGTGAAATTTGATGTTTATGATATTTTGATTATAGTTTATATTTCTTATAAAATTACTATACAAAATAATATATTTATAAAATAATATGTAAAACTAATATATTTATATTGCAGAGGCCAAGCATCGAAGATAAAGTCTGGTCCAAACCACCTTCGGGTTGGTTCTGTTTAAATGTTGATGGAGCCGTGTCAACGGTCAATGGAGTAGGGAAAATAAGTGGGGCCTTTCGGAATCATGATGGAAGCTGGGAAATTGGTTTTAGCAAGAATATTGGCTCCAGCACGGTTCTCCAAGCTGAACTCTGAGGCATCTATGAAGGTCTTCTCCTCGCCAAGGATATTGGATGCACCAGGCTTGTAGCCATCAACCTGTTACTGAAGTCAACTCTAGATGTATCCATCTCTCGCTCGTTCGACCTATTGCAAAGCTATGTTCCTCTATTTGTGAATGGATTCCAAGATCCTGCAACAAAGTGGCGGACAGGATTGCAAAGCTTGCCTCAGTGGATCACTTTGATTTGGTTCAATACCCTCTCCCCCCGATGGAAGTTGCTGATCTCCTTGTACTGGAAGCAGCTACAGCTCCTCGTGAACTTGGCAGCTAAGTTTAGCTCTTTGGCTTTATTTCTAGTCCTCGAGTACTAAGTCTCTTTCAATTCAAAGATAAAAAGTATATCACTAAATAAATCAAATTAACCTCAAATAAAGTTTAACATATACAATATTTTCATTATAATAATAACAAAATCTTATTTTAGCTTAGTGGTTATGTGTTAAACCTTTTCTTTTAGAGATCTTTGGTTCAAATATCTTCAAGTGTGATTATTTATTTTTTATCAAAACAATATCGTGACACTATTTAAGTATAACAAATGTCATTCACATCATCGCCTTATTATTGGGTTAACGATCAGTGATATAATTAAAATGAAAAATAAAAATTCAATGCTTAATTGAAGAAACTAAAAGTTTAGTGATATGAATAATATAATCCCTAAAATTCAGTGATAATTGATGTAATTTACCATATATAGAAAGGTCAAAGTTGATCCAAAAGAAAAGTATGAAACCAATAGTTTCCTTATGTACTACAGATATATTATTATGACGATAACTTTCCATTTTGTCATTGTATGACCCGTCGAAACCTTGAAGAATACTGAAAACAAAACAAAAACAATGGCATGTTGGATCTCTTGTACATGTAAGATTACATTTTTGTTAGAAAATTTTTAGCAATATTCATAATGAATTAGAAAAATGATAAATATATAGTATTGGGCATTTGGCAGCTATTTAAAATTATAGTACTACTGTAATTTAATAATAGGATTCCGGCCAAAAAAAAAAACTTTTGATTGGCATGATTTAACTTTTGTTTGTTATTACTGTAAAGATTTTTTTGTTGCCCTTTAATTTTAAGGTTTCGCGTTGTTTAATCTGAATTAACTTGAGTCACACACTTGATTGTGGTGAGTGTATCTCTTAACAAAAATTTTTTGTATATACAAAAATTCGAACTATAAACCTTGCGTAATCGATATCAAGTTGTTTATATTTGAACTAACCCGTTGATATTGCCGTAAAGATTGATCTGCAGCCTTTTTAACTTTCTTTCCCACCATAACCGATAATCCGATTTCAATTTGTTTCTTGATTTTAATTTGTTTCTTTGACTATGTAAATGGGTCCGCTTATTACTTATATTTTAATTTGTAAATTTTACCAAATAGAAAAAGTTTATTAATCGTATTATTTCAATAATTATCACCTTAACTAAAATTTATTCATCTTTTAAAAAAATCACTCATTATTTTTTTATTAATCTAAGATAATTACAAATATTAGTATATATTCTAAATATTCTTTATCGAGACGTCAGAGTATGTCTTGAGTTTGTTTTAGATGACATGTACTATTCATAGACATTCATGTAATAATTAGAGACGTATTGGGAGCTCTTCACTTTTGTAAACGGATGTATTTATGTCTCTCATCTATGATTTGAACTATGATATTTTAATTGATGATTTTGATATTGTTTTAAAAAGATTTTTTTTGGATTAACCACTTCGGTGGTCACATGTAAACTCTTTAATCCTTTGACCTCCGGGTCGGTTCACACTAGGGTGTTACACGAAGTTAGATGAATGATTGGGATATCCATTGATATTTTAATTTTTAAAATATAAATTTTATATGAAAATATTAAAAATAAATTTGATATTGTTTTAAAAAAAATAAAATTATTTTAAAAAAAGTTAATAATGTAATATGATTTTTTAACTTTTTTTATTAATTTAAGTTGCTTATAAGTTGCAACTCGAACCTGAGACCTCTAAAAATAGTATCATCTCTCTAACTATTTGGTTGGTGCATAATTTAATTTTTAACTTGATAATATGTAAATGAAAAATAAAAAATATATATTATAAAACTTAATACAATACTATTATGAAATAATATATTGACTTGTGTTGTTTTTTTTCATGAAAAATCTGAAAGCGGTGGTCAGCGACACCCATAATCATTACATAAAAGGTACACCTCGTGCGGCCGATAATGGAGAGATCGGCCATTGATTTATGAAACATTTCCCCCCAATAAAAAGTTTATATTTTTCAAGAGAACGCGTAAAATCAATTAATATTTATCTTTGTTTAACGCGGAAATATAAATGATTCGGTCCACAAATGTTTATGATTTTCCCGCCTTTATTTGTTGTGTCTTTACGGTAAAACAATGCTTTATGTCTCAATCATATAATTAATCAAATTAATTAAAAATTTACAACACAAATCAATTTACCTCAATTGTTAAAAAAATCGTTATTATTTTTAGATGTCGTGAATTTAAACGTTAATAGATGTAGCAGGATGATTAAACGTTTTATGTCAAATAGTTAAGAGTATTTAATATATATATATATATATATATATATATATACTACCAATTATAGTTATTCTACATTAATAAGAAAAGTTAGAAATAATAATTTGAATCTCAATCATAAATATTTTCACCGATTCTAAAGTTTAATCGCCTTTTTTTTCAACTTAAAATTGTACAATTGTGACCTTTCAAGGGAAAATCATGCCACTACTTTCACACTACAATATATATCGATCAATTTTCTGAAGTTTAATCATTTTTATGTATTTTATTCATTTTCTAACATAATTTTTTTTTTCAAAATTTATATTGTTGTTTGTTTGTCAGAAAATATCATTATTTGTCTACGTGTTCATGCAAAAAATAATATTTACTTCATTCATGTAATTTTTGTCTTTTTCTACTTCAATATTTTATATTAAAAAGTTTAATTATTTAAATAAATGTATTATTTTGTAGTCACTCAAATTATTTAAAAAATATTTTTATATTTTTTAATATTTACCTTTTCTGTTTATGTTGTTTGAGTTTAAATATTTTCAATGTATTTTTGAATAATTTAATTAAAATTAAAATGAGACTAATGAAAGTATAAGATATTTATGGACCAAAGAGGGTGGATGGAGGTCGTGGTCCTAAAAATTAAAATTATCATATATTTTTTAAAAAAATTATTTATTTTTCATTAAAAATCAATTTTTGTCTCCTTGAAATTTTATAAGTTCATCCTTTTCAAAAAAACATAAAAAATCGAAGGATATGTATGAGGTGAATTTCCCCAAAAATCACCCTAACTTTTTTTATTTCCCTGTCAGACACCCATTCAGGTATATTTCCCGATCTAACACCCTTTGCAGAAAGGCGCAGCCCATGCACCGCGTCTTTCGCTGATGTGACGCCACGTGGGGTAAGACGCGACCCATGCACCGCGCCTTACCGTCGTGTGACACACGCGCCAAATAGACGCGGTGCATGGGTCGCGCCTTGTATAATTGTCTCCGCATTTCTCGGCTTTAAAGCATTTCCTCTCGGCTTTAAAGTGTTTCCTCTCGGCTGTAAATAAAACACTCTCACCCCGTAAAATTCGCACAACAATCCTCTCAACCGAAAACATCAAATAACAATCCTCTCAACCCGTAAATATCACATGACAATCCTCTTATCTTTGATTCAGAAGTTTGTTCGATCTTTCATTGCAAGGTATTTTTTATAATATTTTTTATAATTATATATGATTATTTGAAAAAAATATTGTATTAATTGTTTTTAATTAATTTTTGTGGTTGTAAAATTGGAAAGCGGAAGCATACGTCGAAATATTTTTGCCGATACGGTAATAATATAAAATTATATTATTTAAATTATTTACGTTTATGTGTAAAAATTTTATTGCTTTATATTTTAATTCATATATTATTTATTTACTTATGCTTGTTTCGGGGTTTTTTTCTGCATATATAAGATTGTCTCACTTTCAAACTCTAAGAATGACGCGAATTTCATCTATTGTTT